CATGCAGAGACAGATATAAAGAGGTATCATACAGTTTTAGGGGAAGGAAGTTATGAAATAATTATACAACTTTTGCAATAGGCTGAAGGTCATGGGAACAGACAGATGAGCGAGCCCTGGGCCCACACTTAGAGATCCACATTATGAGACAAGGAGAGAAGCAGGAGCTGAGCTAACAGGGGCAAGAGCCTGTCAGAAGGCAGGTCCTGTGAGGGTGAGAGGATCGGGGAGGGGAGGGAGCACAGCAAGGAAAAAAAGCTGGGTGGGCAGAGAGAAGTACTGGAGTTAAGAGCAGAGACTAGGAGTCAGAGCAAAGCTTCGGGGGACTTTGGGGGTTGGGGGTGGAAATGGCAGCCTCAGCCTTTCCAGGACAAGAGCTACCGATGCTAAAAAGCACAGACAGGAATTAGAAGGGCGTGCAGAATAATGGCTTCATTCTACAGTCAACAATAAAAGCTAACTTTCTGACTTGATTTCTTTTGTTTTTTCAAGACAGGGTCTCCTGGAACCACAGATGGCCTCCATCTCACAGAGATCCACCTGCCTCTGCCTCCCAAGTGCTGGGACTGAAGATGTGGCCACCACGCCTGGCCTTCAGACTTGATTCTGATGTATTAGTATGAATTTTCATCTTTCATGTACTTAATATTTTTACATTTGTCAAATCATGTTTCCTAGGCTTTTTTTTTAAAGTAGTATTTAAATTTTTTTATTTACTTATTTTTTTATTTTATCTGTATGAGTGGTTTGCCTGCATGCATATAATACACTCCACATGCATGCAACGTCAGCAGAGACCAGGAGGATGTCAGATCCCCTGGAACTGGAGTTACAGATGGGTGTTTGCCACCATGTGGGTACTGGGAACCAAACTTGGGTCCTTTGCAAGTGCTCATAACCTCTAAGCAATCTCTCCAGCCCTTTGCTTTGGCTTTTTGAGAGTCTCACATGGTCCACATTAGCCTTGAACTTATGATCTTCCTTCTTCTGAGATTATAGGTGTATACCTCCTTAATTAACAATTTTTAAATCATATTTTAAAATATACAACAGAAAGTCAGGTAAGGTGGTGCACATCTATAGTCCCAGTACTCAGCAGTTTAAAGAACAAGGGTTGTCAGAGAATACATAGACCTACTCCAAAACAGTAACAAAAAATTAATACTGTGAAGTAAATTAAGGAAAATTTTGGTCTGTTGCATAGGGGGAAGTAAATTATCTGTTATCTGAACTTATGTTAAAAATAAATCTTGGGGCTGGAGAGATGGCTCAGTGGTTAAGAACACTGGCTGCTCTTGTAGAGGAACCACATCTGGTTCTCAGCACCCACATGGGGCTAACACCCATGGGTAACTCCAGTTCCAGGGGATCGGACACCCTCTTCTGGCATCCGAGGGCACTGCATGCAGGTGGTGCCCATATGTAGGCAAAACACTTATAAGCATAAAATTAACAGAATTTTTATTTATGCTTTTGTTCATTCATTCATTTGTGTTTGAGGCAGGGTCTCCCTAGAGTCTCAGCTGGCCTGCAACTTGCTATGTAGACCAGGTGGGCCTGAATCTCACAGAATCCTGCCTGCCTCTGCCTTCTGAGTACTGGGATTAAAGGTGTGTGCCACCATGTCCAGCTTAATAAAATATTTAAAAAAACCAAAACTTTAAATATAATCTTTAGTATACTGATTAAAAATTTTTATTAAAGGTTTATTTTTATTTTATGTGCATATTTTTACTTTATTTTGCTGCATGTGCATAAGTGTACTACATGTGTGCCTAGTATCCTTAGAGGCCCGAAGAGGACGTCAAATGACCTGGAAATAGAAATGCAGGAAGTGATCCTTTGTGTGGATGCTGGGAACTGAACTCATGAACAACTGACCAGCTTTCAAGGTACTGCAGGAATAAAACAGCATTTCATAGGAACTTTGGGCTACTGATCGTTTTGGTATTCTCTTTATAGGAAATATTAAACAAACAAACAAAAAAAGGTGCTATCTTTCCTATCAAAGGGCTAAATAAGACAGAACTTCTCATTTAATGTAAAGGAAAGCAGCTGGGCGTGGTGGCGCACGCCTGTAGTCCCAGCACTTGGGAGGCAGAGGCAGGTGGATCTCTGTGAGTTCAAGGCCAGCCTGGTCTACATAGTGAGTTCCAGTATAGCTCGGGCTATAGGGAGACCCTGTCTCAAAAAGACCGAAAGTAAATAAATAAATTAATGTAAAGCACTTCTGAAACAGCTGACACTGCAACTGTATTCTGAAAACAGTGTTCGCCACCTGAAGCACTGTTATTCTTTAGTTTAATTTTTATTCCATTTATTTACTTATTTACCTATTTATTTATTATGTGTGCATGTATACATGGGTATGTACATGCCAGGGTATGTACATGGAGGTTAGAGGACAACTGCAGGCTTTAGTTCTTCCCTTTCAGCGTGGGGGGTCTCAGGGCTCAAACTCAGGTCATCGGGCTTGGTGGCAAGCATCTTTACCCACTGAGCCATCCATCTCTCAGGCTCTGAAATGCTGTTAACTATTCAGTCACTGAAAGTTGTAAAGGGAGGGAAGACACACATTGACCTACTATATTTGGTGTATTTGCTCCAATTACAACATCGGATTTTATGTCAGGGTCACAGCTGAGACTAACGTTCTGAGTGGCATTTTAGGTGGCAGGCTCACTGTTCAGCCTTTCTGGGAAAGAACTATGATTTAGGGTAGCTGATTTAGGTGCCATTAACTTTCTATAACAGACATGGATTTAGGCTCAGAGTCTAGGGATTTAGCCTGATAATTCGTTACCAATAATCTGATTAGATATGGTGGACTAAAAATATACATCTATTCCCTACCCACAAAAGGGGGTGGTAAACTCATGAGGCTAGTGAGGACATGACAAATGTATGGAAAAGTATATACATTTTGAAAGCTGGACAGTGATTCAGTGGACTGGAGGGAAGCAGAGGGCAGAGTACAACAGAGGAGCCCCTAGAAAAATGGGGACCTTGTGTCACAGAACCTGAGAAGGCCAAGGCCCACAGAGAGGGTATGTGTGAGATGGGGCGAGAAATTAACATCAGCTCACCGTCTGAAGGAGGACTTAAGATCCCCTAACTCAACCCAATCTAATTAGGAAAACTGTCCTCACCAAAGGGCATTGGGTGTATAAAAACAAGTGTGAGGATGTCAAGAGTGTACACAACGAATCCTCTGTCCACATGGCAACACTGCTTCAAAAGAATAAATTAGTTATTTATTATGTGTGTGAGTGCACTGCCTGCAAGTACGTGAGTGCACCTGTGTATTCAATGCCTAAGAAGAGGGTGTCAGATCCCCTGGAACTGGAGGTACAGATGGTTGTGAGCTGCCACGTGGGTGCCGGGAACTGAATCTAGGTCCTCTGCAAGAGTAGCCGGTGCTCTTAACCACTGAGCCATTTCTCTGGCCCCTCAAATAATTATTTTTTAGCATCTCTGTTTTTCTTTAATGGATGGCCAAGGATAACTAGATTTTTTAATCATCTCTAACAACAAAGGAAACAGAAAATAAAAAAACTTAAAGGTACTAAAAAAATAAAATTATACCTGTTAAGTAAGCTGATTTTTTAAAAAATCAGTACAAAGAAGCAGTTCAAAACATCAAAAATAAGTAAATAAAAGGTAGAGAACAAAGTAGAAGCCTGGTAAAATTAGAAGAAAACAACAGAAACACAAAGCTGAGGAGGAGAACCCTCACTAACAGGAGGGAGACAGTGGGACTAGAGGACACAGAGGGAAGGGAATTGCCAAGAAGAAACAACAGGACAAATTTCCCAGACAGAAAGCTATGAGAGAACACATGGAAAGATTCAAAATAGCCTGCATGACAGATGAGGAGCCTAGTCAAAGCTTAGCACTGCGAGAGCTTGTCCCCAGGGAAGATGAGAGCCTCAAACCTTTCAGAAAAGAAAAGCTGAACTCAAAGGCCTGACACTAGAACAGCCCCAGCATTCTCCACTGCCAACACTAGAAGGCGCAGGACAAGTGAGGAGTAAGGAATCCAAGAGAATGAAAGCTCCACTAAATCTAGAACCCCACACCCAGCCAACTCTCTAGTAAGCACAAGGGTGGGCTAACGACACAGCCAAAGGACGAAGCAGTCCACTAAATAAAGTAGCATTTTAAGAAACAGAAAGAGATGGGACTAGCAGGGGGTTAACAGAGACGTGGAGATGAAGATGAGGATGATGAGCCACCCCAGGACAAGCATCATAAAACAGACCTAGAAGAATCAGTATCCCAGTTGCAAAGTACAATGAGAAAGATGGAACTCAAGAAGACAAGTAAATGAAAATACAAGTCATCACCTAAAGCAAGCGCTGCAGTCCCAACACCTGGGTAGCTGAGGCAAGACGGTGACGGTGAGACCTTGCCACCAAATCAAATCAAACCAAATACAATCATACTATATTCTGTGGATATCCCAAACACTGAAAAGGGATTTTTACAAATCAATGACTAGGGGCTGGAGAGATAGCTCAGTGGTTAAGAGCACTGGCTATTCTTGCAGAGGACCCAGGCTCGAATCCCAGGGCCTACATGGCAGCTACAGCCCTCCATGACTCCAGTTCCAAGGGATCCAGTGCCCTCTTCTGTCTTCCACGGGCACCTACGCACATGCAGGGAATATACTCATACACATAAAAAAGAAAAAAAGATAAAAAAAATCAACGACCAAAATAAACAGCACTAAATTGTACTCAGAAACTACCAGAGGCTACTTCTGAAAGCTGTACTGTTAAAGGTGAATGACCCTGAGATGCAGGGAGCAGTGTTGAGAAGGGGTAAAGCAGAAACCCTTATTTCCTAAAACGATAACTTTGCAACATGTAGACACATTACTGAAAAAAATACTTTATTTTCTGTCATGGAAAGAATTTGTGATATGCAAGATAAAGACCAAGGTGTAAGAAACAAAACCAGAACTGAACAGCCCAAACCCTCGGAGCTCCCTCACTCACCATCTCTCTGGCGATTTCCAGCGCTTCCTGTAGGCCATAGAGCCTGCCGCACACCAGGTAGATTCCGTTGGCCCAGAGAATGCAACCCTCATGGACCCAAAATTCGTTGCTGTCAAGAGGTAGTTCAGGGATTTGTAGCTCCAGCTCGGGGCCACCTTCCGAAGTGGTGGGTGCAGAGGGCTTTGAGTCCAAAGCGGTCTTTTCACTGCTGCCGTCAGCTGCGGCTTTTTTACAAGGGAGCCCCCTGGACAGGGACCGAGGGCCTCCAACACAGTCTTCTGAGCGGTGGCGCCGCTTGAACCGAGGATGCGCGGCCAGGCTCCTCTGCTCCTTCTGCTGCTGCTGCTGTTCCTCCTCCTCCTCAGTGTCCGTCTTGGAACCATTGGAAGCACTTTTGTGCCTAACCTTGACCTTGCTCTGCATTTCTGTGGCTCTCTTAGGAGGTGGATTCTTCGGGAGAGTGGCTGCATAATCTTGGGGATAAAAGGGTCCAAAGAGGTCACCCATGTTGCGGTAACTGGCCCACTTGCCACAAAGACAGCAGACTAGGTGCCCCATAACAGAGGATTCTGTCACAACAGGCCCCTGCAGCATGAAGGACGAAGCTGGGAGCACTTTGCTTTCCGTGCTGCTGGGGGGAGGAGTCAGAGACCTCTGACCCTTACGGCTCCTCACCAATTTGGTCTGCTCTTCTTCTTCGGCATTGATGATTGTACACACAGCTCCAAGTTCACACTTATTTACTACATGGATATAAGGGAAAAAAGACTTGTTCTTGGCATCGGTTTTATCCAGAGGCTGCGTGGCGTACTTGAGCTTGATCTCCGGCTCTTGGGGCTCTACGATGGGAACTGCTTGTTTGGTTTTCCGCTTTCTTGGCTGGGCCCCAGGCTTCCTTCTCTCCCTCCGCTGCCTCTGCTTTTTTGGCTTTGGTTCTCCATCTGCAGAACCTTCTGGAATTTGAGGGGGCTGGGGGGGTGGAGGGGGTGGCTGCTGCTTCTTCTGCTTATTCACACTACCGATGGGTCTCCCCTTCTTCTTTCCTGATGGGAAATACCCCTTCGGGGGGAAACTTTCTTGTTTGGGTGAAATCGTGACTGTCTCATTCTCTTTCTCTTCAGTCTTGGGGTTTGCCTCTGGGGCCAATACGCCCAATGGAGCTACATTCTTTGAGTCAGGAAAGATTAAAGGCGCTGCCCCACTCAGGGAACCATCTGGTCTCCCTTGGTTGCCACCAAGCTTCTGTGAGGTTGTGGATGCCACGGTACTGGGGGGCTCCTTTCCAGTAGGAACCGTTTCTTTGTGTGCCTCTGTCTTCACTTCATCATCCCCACCGCCATGCCACTCTTCTGAAGGCCTGGGAAGTGGCTTCTCAGCACTTGACTCCTGGTTCACTGCACTGACCAGGTCAGAGGCCACCTCACCTTTTCTCTTCTCCACCTCCGCCTCCTGAGTAGCCACAGGCCCGCCCTCAGGAGGACCACTCTTCAGAGACAGGATGTCATCCAGTGTGACTGTGTCTCCCCCAGCCTCAGCACTGTTTGTAGACGCACTTCTCCTAATGTTTGGAGATGTGATCTTCTGAACTATAGCTTCCAATTTCAATCCCCGTCCCTTCCGTGGAGGCAGTATTTTGGTCTTAGCAGGGCTCGTGAGCGTGACAGCAGGACAGTTTCTGTTATCTGGGTTTGGCATGTCCTTGGAGGAATCTCTCTTAGCGACAGACTTGATATCCTGACTGTGAGAAAGATGGGCATAGGAATTGTATGCCTTATCGGCACTGTCCTTTGATGGGTGAAGGAGGCGCCCTTTATCTTCAGTGTTACTATTCTTTACATCTTGTGACTGTCTCTTACTGGGAATGGGGGAGATAAAGGAGCGGACACGCCTCCGCATGATTAAGGGGTTTTGAGAAGAATGATCCTCTTGGCCCGGAAGCCGTAGCATCACATTAGGTTTGGATGACTGTGCAGACTCAGCTAGCCCATGTCCATCTGTCTCATGGGGGGGCCCATACCGTTTTTGATTAGATATTCCTGGAGGACCACTGCTTTTGGCTGGAGAAGTTTGCCGAGAAAGATCCCAACAAGACTCTTGTAATTTCTGAGAGCCATGCTTCAATTCCATGCCTTTGGTAGGCAGACCATCATTCGACAAGAGACAGCGCCCAGCTTCCTGAGTACTGGGGTCATGGTATGTCCCTACTGGTGGGCCATACATCATACCATCTTTGTCATTTTTCAGGGGGCTCCGTACCCTGTCAAGAAACTGCTGCTGCCGTGGGCTCTTCCGTGACCCTTCTTGCCTATGCTGTGCAGCAGCAATCACTCCCTGAGCAGAACTGCTGCTCCAATCTTTATACTCCTCTTGTTGCGGCTGGTACATCTGTCTCTTATAATGGAGCTGAGAATTCAAACCTGTACTGGGGTCCCCGTAAGCATGAGCCCGGGCATTTGTGTGGTAAGCAGAGGCCAGGCTTTCGGAGTTGGGAGAAAAAGGAGCATGTAATGAACTCCTATTGGCCCTCTCTGAAAAAGTCATGTGGGGGTTCATGTGGTGAGGGTCTCCTCCTGGGCCTCTGCTCCTGCCAGGAGACATCTTCAATTTTTCTGCAAAGTCCTGGTACTGAGAAGGGGACCGACCCCTCATGGCCTCCCGACTACCAATTCTACCAGGGACCCGCCGCATTGGCGTGGACCTGCTGTCTTGAGGGCCATAGTCCGAAAGGGAATCATGGGCTGCTCCAGGGCTGGCATTACCACGGTAAGACTCATGCTTGATGCTAGCAGGATGGCAGTGGTCTCCAGATTTTTTGTTGAAACTAGCTTGGGACTTAGACTGCTCAAAATCTTCCTCTTTTATCTGCCCACTCTGGGACTTCAGCTTTGTTTCCATGGACACCAACCCACCTGGAAGAATGACTGACTGACTTAAACTTGGGTTGAGACGTTCGCTCCTCCCAATTCTGGTGTCAGCACCCATGTGCCCCAATGAGTGAGCCCCTGGGTCCCTGACGATCTGTCTTAGTGGAGAAATATCACAGATCACTGATCTCCTCTCAGAAAGGGAGCCCCCAGGCTCATGGGCTGATGATGGGGGTTCTATCTCAAACTTTCTGGGAATGGGGTAGTCAGCCAAATTGATCTGTTTCATTTCAGAAGCTGTACTGCTAGATTTCCTTTCCCAGGGGCCCCAGTGGGGATTTTCTAACAGGGAGCCAATGCTCTTGTTCAGAAGGCCCCTGCTGGCTAATTCATTGGTTTGACTAACTAAGATGTTGGGCCTCGCAGTTCCTTCTAGGCCACCGGCCATACCCTGATGCTCCTGAGCACTCCTAGAATACCTCCTGTCAGGGTGGTGGTGGTAGCCCTGAAGTACTTCCTGCAGGAGGCTTGGAAACTTCTCATTTCTACCCTTTCGTTCCCCGTGGCCAGTAAAATCCCCCTTTTCTTGCCCTGTAGGATACTGAGGAAAACCACTGACATTTCGTGGTACAGCTGGCCCAAAGCTCTCTTTGTAACTGTAGCGCAAGCTTCCAGGAGACTTGCTAGGCTCAGTCCTGCCTGTGAAACTTGGGCCCACTGCAGTGTGGCTACTCTGGCCATTTCCCTCGCCATTATGGCTGGAGCTGCTGTCTCCATTCTTGCTCCCTTTGCTCCCTCCTCCTGGAGGGTCTGGCTGTGGAAGTGACGTGTGGCTGGCTTCCTTTACCCCGCTGGTGCTAGGTGGCCTCTGGCTGGCAGCAGGATCTTCCTCTTGGGAGCCTTTATCTTGTCCACCAGGTTTTTCTACCCGACCTGTCATGGCTTCCCGGGAGACAATCACCCCGACTGTCTTCTCATTGACTTTCGTGTTCCCCTCGGATGACAGTGGTGCATCCTTAGCACCCGGGGAGGCAGCTTCTTCTCTAGCTGCAGGACTGGCACTGAGCCTGGGAGGCTCGTTCTGAGCACCTTGTGCTGGTGAGGAGCCTGCTTTCTCAGAGGTTCCACACTTGTAAGTGGTGTCCGAGCTAGTGCTCTGACCACTCAGCTGCCTGACTCTCTCACCTTGATCTTCCGAACTGCTGGAACAACCTCCATCCAAAGACTCTGCCATGGGGGACTTCAGTTGCTCCTCAGCTTGTGAGGAGCCTTCTGAGTTTGTGCAGCTGTCTGCTTTCTTGGATGAGGAGGGCCTCTTGGAGGTCTTCTTCTGAGGTGTCAAGGCATCAGAAAGTAGCATGTGCTGAACAGTGTTAGGGAGATTGGCCACTTGAGTACTGAGAGCACTCAGACTGCTCAGCCCAGGATCTGTCAGCCGCTTTTCTGGCAGCCCTTCTAGCCCAAACCCTTTGAAGCTGGCAGCATGAGAATTCGGACTGGGCATCATAGACGGGGTTGGACTGAGTTGAGGCATCAGCTGTAAAATTCGGTTTCTGGAGCCCATGGGCACACTGCTTTGCCCACACTGGAGACTCTCCCCACTCTGCATGAGAGGAGAAGGGGTAGAGCTACAGCTTGGTGACTGAACCACAGAGGCGGCAGGAGAAGGGTTAGAAATGGGGCTGAAGTTCTGGTGAAACTGCATGGGGGACCTCACAGGAACGTCAGGCTGGTTGTACTGCCCCACCTGGCCTTGAAGGGGCAGTTTTGTGGCAGCATTGGTGTACTGCATCACATGCTGAGAGGGATGCTGCTGCTGTGGCTGTTGCTGCTGCTGCTGTGGCTGTTGCTGCTGCTGCTGCGGCTGCTGCTGTTGCTGCGGCTGCGGCTGCTGCTGCCCCTGCTGGGCTGCTTGGGGAATCTTTGCCTGTTCAAAATTTTTCACAGACTGTGGCTGATAGCTGTAATTTGATTGTGTTCCGTAAGCCTGAGCATTAGAACCCACATTGTGCCCTTCGTACTGGGATCCAGCATTCACACTGTAACTGCCATCATAGCTCTGTCCAGACTGACTGAAACGCTGTGGTGAAGGAAAGGAGGAGGAGGAGGAAGAGGAAGCAGAAGACTGGTAGTGTTGGCCAAACTGACCCACTCTTAACTGGTACCCAGCAGCAGAGGATGGCAGGGTTGAAGGCCGCTGCATTGGCTGTAGATGGGACGAGCCAGAGGCTGGCTGGCCAGTGGCTTGAGGCAGAGGCTGATGGGATTGGTAAAGCTGTTGTCTCAACTGCTGTACTTGCTGCTGCTGCTGCTGCTGTTGCTGCTGCTGCTGCTGTTGCTGCTGCTGCTGGCTGGAGGCCTGCTGTTGGTACTGAGCACTCCCAGGAGAGAAAGGCCCTGTGTAATCCTGCTGATAATGAGACACACCACCAAGGGCAGAGTGCTGTGCTTGAAATTGGCTCACATGACCCTCACTCCCATACTGATTGCCAAAGCTGCTCCCCTGGGGAGGTCCGTAGCTCTGCACAGGCCCAGAAGGCCTTCGCTGAGGTGGCTGCGGGGTTCCTGCTGCCACGGGGTCTTTGCCGCCTGCCATGTAGTAGAAGTCTCCAGCTTCTTTTCTGAAACCCTGGTAGCTCTGATGGCCAGAGGTCTCGCTGGCCATTGCTGTAGCAGCAGCTGCTGCTCCTCGCCGTCCACCACCACTGCCACCACCGGAGCCACTGCTGCCACCACCTGCGCTCCCGAAATTCTGGAACATCTGGGCCTGACGAGAGCTGAACTCTTCTATACGGGATGAGCTGTGTACCTCCTGTGGGTAGCTCTGCTGGTTTCCGTGGTAACTGCTTTGCTCCCGAAAGGACTGCATACTGTTCAGCAGCACAGCAGCAGGCCAACAGCCCTCCTGGAAAAGGAAGAAAAGAAAGAAAGGCATGAGACATGCATCTGCTCCATACAAACAAAATCAAGCCTAAGACAACCTGGATGACCAGATGAAGCTGGCTGCTTGAATCTCATCTCCCTTTTCTTATTCTATTTCTGATAATGTAGAAAAGCAGACAAATGGTGTAAAGAACGAAGCAGGAGTCTCATGTAATGAAAGACATACTGGGTGGATGCGGACTCAGATACACTCTTTAAAGAATTTCATTATTAGATAAATAAGCCCAGCCCCCGTCCCCCAGCCCCTATTCAACTGGGTTAAACATCAGGATGTGTCATTACTGGCAATGAGACACGATTTTTAATTAATCTTTCAGTTATAATGGGGAATGGTGAGAAAAGCACTTTCATTTATTAGACTGACTACTGAACTGAGGGCCCTCAATGAGTCGGCTCTTCCACTGGCCTTCCACCCCGCCAACCTCCCCTAGGCAACAGGAAAAAGAACTGTCCTGAGAACCGAAAGCCATTTCCTCAGGTTCAAATGCATGCCACTGCAGGTTACCACAGTTACCAACCTGCCTGTGATGACTAGTGACCCTGGAACACTCAACTCTTCACTGTGGACTCCTTCTACTGCAGTCAAGCACACCACCATCAGAGCTGACCTTTGCTTGACAAACGGCCCTTCTCAAGCACTACCCTCAACCCCCAGGTGACAAAGGGCTACATACAGGCAGAGAACAGCACTGACTAGTCTTTCAGACTCTTTTTTTTGGAGGTTTGCAAGGAGTTTCAGTGCCTCTAATCTCTACATGGCTTTTCACTTGCCAATCAAATATTCAGTTGTCATTGCTGTTCTTATGATGGAGAATCTAGAGAACCCCAAAAAATAAGAGTTGAAAAGAGTATCAAGGGCTAGAAAGATGGCTCAGAGGTTAAAAGCACCTGCTGCTCTTGCAAAGGACCTGGGTTCAGTTGCCAGCACCCATATCAGGTAGTTCCGGAGGATACAACACCCCCTTTGGGCCTCTGGACATGCAGCAAACACTCATAACACATAAAATAAAAAATCTTAAGTAAATATATATGTGTGAACGTATGTATGTATGTATGTACGTACACACACACACACACACACACACACACACACGCAGCCTAGGACCCAAACTTTCCAGAGTAGTCTGACTGGGCTACCACCTTTACAGTCTCTTTGCTAACGTATCATCCTCTTGTTTAATCAAGAGCTGACTTTATTTTTCCTTTTGCTTGGGTTCATCTCCTCAGAGTCAGAAGAGGACAAGGACAAGGACAAACTTCTCCAAATGACTAAAAATCAATTGTTTAAAAGAGAAGTTATAGGCTAGAGAGATGGCTCAGTGGTTAAGAGCACATACTGCTCTTTCAGAGGACCAGGGTTCAATTCCCAGCACCCATATCAAACAGCTCACAACTGCTTTTAACTTTAGTTGCCAGGGGATCCAACACCTCTGGCTTCCTGCACTCATGTGCACACAGCCACATTCCGACACTTACAAATACACATAATTGAAAATTGGGGAAAAAACAAAGTTATGAAGCATATGAGCTAACCCTAACACAGTTTTCTTACAGGGGCTTATGAAGTTAGTTTCTTAGTCCCTCTCAGAGGGGGCTGAAAGGTACAGCCTACAGGAAACTCTGGGATCATACTCACCATCTCCTTGGTCCTGGGCCAAGCCATTAACATTTTTATACAAGACCTCTGTTCCACTTATCAAGCTCCCCTTCATACAGACAACCGACCCCCCTGCCACCCCTCACAGCCACATGGCTTACCCTCACCTCTCTGCAGTCTCTGGGAAGCAAGCATTACCTTACAGCAAGGCCTTCCCCTGTCCATCCTATTTAAAATAGCTAACTACACATCTTTACCTTGGTTCCTTCTCCTTCCCCTTTTCTGTCCCCCCTCTCCCAGGATAGATGCAGTACAGTCTAATAAATGAAAGCAAAATAATGTTTACTGTTGTCTGCCCCTTGAGAGTAAAATGTAAACTCCTAAAGGGCAGAGACTGCTGTTCCTCACTATGCTCTTCGTGTCGTTCAAAGAATAGGGAGCAGACAGCAGACACTCTGCATGGATTCTTAAATGGTTTAAGAAGGAGGCCTTACAGAACTAGGCTCGAACTGAGTGATGCCAAGAGGGCAAGAAAAGTGCAGTATGATCACTCTAGGGCAGGGCGTGGTGGCACACGCCTTTAATCCCAGCACTTGGGAGGCTAGGCAGGAGGATCTCTGTGAGTTCAAGGCCAGCCTGGTCTACATAGTGAGTTCCAGGACAGCTAGGGCTACAGGGAGACGCTGTCTCAAAAAAGACCAAAGAAAACATGATCACTCCAAAAGTATGCTCACTCTAAAAGCAAGGCTGGAGGGTGCTGACAAGCTGCCTGTAAGATCCTATGGGTCCAATTCTAAGAAAAACACCAACTTGAGTGCACATGAGGACTGAGGAAAGACCTCAGAAGCAGACACCACATGGAGATGAGCAGCCCAGCCTCTAAAAGCCTGGCGCAGTCCTAAACACCTCGTGTCTGGCTAGACAGGGGCCGACTTCTTCACATCTGAGTATATACTCACATAACTCAGAGTTATCCTTTTAAACATTCATATACAAAAATCTCAGTGCCTAAAGGAAACCATTTCTTAGCACCTTCAAAAGTCTCTTCAACAGAAAGCCATTTCTCCCTATGAGTCTGCTGGGAACAGTGTGTTTCTATTTACGTGTTCAATATAATGCTTGATATTGTTCCAGCAATTACATGTAGTAACTCAATCCTCACAAGACCAGCAATTTCACTTTACAGAAGAGTAAACTGAGGCACAGATTTCACCAAGTTTCTGAGGGCCTCGTGTGGCCGTACAACAGGCCACGTTTGTCACACACACTATATTACCCAGAGGATTGTTTACCAGGTCAATAACAAGTCTCAGCCTCTCAGATCAGCCTTGAAGGCAGAAGCTGCCAACAGAATCGCCTCTCATAGGACATAATACTGTTCCAGCCGATTCTCCACCTCCTCTAGCTTCTCTGTGACAGTCAAGAACAACTCCATTCACGTGAGTTTCTCCTGTGGGCAGCGTACTTCTGTTCTAGTTCTTAAAGCCAGTGGCCTTCTCTAGATAATAAAGTAGGGCTGATGTGGGCTAAACTGAACAAAAACAGTAAGTTTATCAGTTCACTGAAGGAAAGGAGAGTTGTCTCCAGAGACAATCTCTATAAATAATGTTGTTTAGTTAACTCTTCTGTAAATAAAGCTAGGCTTCTGAAGGTTTGAATGTGTAACAGTGGTACCATTTGCTCCCTATTTTTCCTAAACAGGAGCCACTAAGAATTAAAGCCCACTTCAGACATCAGCAATCTGGCCTGGGCCTGCCTAGTTACCAAGAACCCCATCTCTACTGGGAAAGGAGTCACGGGAACAATTCCTCGGCAGGCCTGCTCCTAGCCCTCCCCTGTACACCTCTTTGTCTTGGATGATGTTCTTCTCTCTGTAGTAACAGTTTGAGGACCTGAAGAAAAAAATCCACAGTAGGATGGAGGGAATCCCTCCCCCAGGGCACACACAAAGTATCAGGACCAAAGAGTGCTTCCAAGTTTATCTTCCATAAGCGTGTCAAGTAAAGCAGAGAACAAACAAAAGACACACGTCATCATCAGCACATAAAACAAGCTAACAGATCGTCCCAATACCAATTTATCAAAAAAAAGAAAAAAGAAAAAAAAAAAATCAGTGTCAGTTTCAAAGCACTGTGATTACAAATGGCGAATGCCGACATTCCTTTGTTTGGTTGAACACAAGCACGTACTAAAGGAAACTCAACATCTTGCAGTCAGTCATCAATGAGGAATTTTCAGGTCTAACTGGAAGAGGTTTACTGACACACCTTTCTCCCTGTCTCTTTCCAAATTTTCTCACATACCATAACTTTTCACGTTTCAGGCCGGCCACAGAGGTATATTAGTGAGGTCTAGGATTCAGGCTTCTATATTCCAGACCGTCCCAGCTGCGGACTGCTCTCTGTCCTGATAGACAGCTGCTACCCTTACTGTCTTAAGAGAAAACCAGAACCAACTTCCACTGCCCTTCTGTCATTACCAGCATATTCCCAGGCCATTCTTTTCTCCACAAAGTCCTCTAAACTGTCTTCAAGAAAGCTCCCATCTTTCAAAGTGCAAGTAGGCTTAACCTGCTGACAGAAAGACAAATGATTCTCCTGCTTTAAAAACTGTTGGTCCTAGCCGGGCGTAGTGGCACACGCCTTTAGTCCCAGCACTGGGGAGGCAGAGGCAGGCGAATCTCTGTGAGTTCAAGACCAGCCTGGTCTCCATAGTGAGTTCCAGGTCAGCTGAGACTACAGGGAGACCCTGTCAAAAAGAAAAAAAAAAAAAAAAAAAATGTTGGTCCTTAAGACATCAACAACCTATACAGGTCTAGGCATGGCCACTGTAGTGACATACTGTCTGTCCTCCAGTTTAACTCATCCACCTTCAAACTAGCCAATACCCTAGGAGCGGCACCAAAGACTACAGACTGGCCCTGCCACCCTCTGGCTTCTAGCCCAGCTTGGAGACAAAGAGATCTGCTCTCCTGATCCCAACCAACAATTACTGAGGCTGGCAGGAGACTTCCCACCAAAGGGACAGTCCTGTCAGCTGTCTGACAACCTAAACATTTAGTCATTTTCTCTGAGCTCAGAAACTACTTCCTCTCAGGATACAGTAATAACTCCCTGTGATTTCCGGGCCAGAAAATGCCACTTCCCTTGTTTATTTCTCAAACTTTGTTCACCCTTTACAAACAACCCTTTTATTATTATTCGGCACTCTAGTCAAATCCACATCCCCTTTCCATGGCCTCTTCGGCAGATCAGAAGCTGGGGGACTATCTTTCAGAGCCTTTTCCAGCAGTTAGAACATGCAAAGAGAAGCACAAACGAGACGGAGACTGGGAAAAAGGAGAGGCCGATGTTCCCCATGGCAGC